TGTATATTCATTTTTAACCACACATCTGATATTCAAAAGACAATCTAGGTGGAAAAGTGTTAAATTAATTACAATGTATAAGTAGCTGGTAATGTATTTCATGGATTTCTTTCATTTGCATGTAAGACACCTCTTTTTGAAAGCTCTTGCATTTTTATGAATGCTAAATTATTTGGGTGCTTTTTACACTATGTACAATATATGTTAGAATTTGGATGAAATTAGCTTACTGAAGCACTTTGTTTAACCACAATTTCTTTAGGAAGGCTGGTGGTGAATAGACAGATTGTCTTAGCAGGTGAGCAGACTCAGARTAGGATTTTACAGAGATTCATTATAGGAAGTGTAGACTTTCCTGAGCTCCAGTTAGGGTAGGATGGTTTGCAGTGATTAWCATTGCTTAAGAGGACAAGGAAGCTTGATCTTTGTTTTGGATTCACAGAAGTTTAATTGGTAGGAGGTGCTGTCAAAAATGTTTTGGGAGCCTTCCAGACAAGCTGTGCTAATCAGCTGAAAGTTGTCAAATCTTCTGGAATATACCACTACAGTATGAGGCATCTGAGTGCTTTTTGTTCTATGCCCAGGTGCACTGAAAGTCTGTTTTAGAAAAGATTCTGTAGGTGAGTTGGTGGTTTCTTATTTTGTACTTTACAGTTAGTTTCCCCATTTAGCACTTTTGGTACTGGGTAGGTGTAATTGCCACGAATTTACAGAGGAAAAACAGAGTGGAAAACAAATAGAAGAGGCTTTCCAAAAAGTTGATTTAAAGATTTTAATTCCTAGAYTGAACTTTGGACATAGGTAGCACGGTGTATAAATCTTTACCAAAATAATAAAGAGCACAGTTATGGGTCTCAGAAGCTGCAGTTTAACCCCATGAGTCATTTCCAGCTGTCTTCTCCAGACATGAAGGTATTTGAACAATAGCAGCTGACCATGTGGCTGTCTTTTAAACCATTTTCAGCAAATCAAATGGAGGAACTGTGTGTTTACAGTTAAAGGATGAGGATTGCTGGAAGCTGCGCTGCTCATACTTTACAGCAGGAGGTCATGGCTAGATAGAAAATAATCCTAGAAATCCTTGCTAACATCCTTCATCTGTGTAATAACATAGCCAAGACCCAACTCTTCCATTCTGTTGGTCGCCTTCATTTTAAAAGATAGATTAGAGATTTGAAAGTCATCAGTCTTTGTTTCAACATCTGGACAACAAACGCTGAGAAAAAAGGCTAGGAAATATTACACATGATGACTCCTTTATGTGTATTTATTAATTCATGGTCTCATGCCACCTATTGAAAACCTCACCATAACAGATTATAGACTGGAAAGGAAAAAGATAGGTAAGGGCCTGTTCATTATTAAAATCCTTGCTATTTATGTCACCTGTAGACATGTTCTGTAAGAGCCTGGAAAATGGGACTGCTTATTAACAAGAAAAAGTAGCAGAGACAAAAAAATATTTTGATAGATTAGTGCATTACCATTTATGAAATGGAAAATTGAACTTTGCTTTTGTATAGCAGAGTTGCACCTCAGAACATAAGGCTACTTCCTACTGGAGTGGTCCAGCAATGGAGGCAGTTTGAGGATRGTGTTTTCATTAAATAGTTGTGTGAAATGTGCTCGCAGGCAAAATGTTTAGTTTGGAGGTTTTAAGACTACATGTCTCCCCTAGTTACGACCTTAATGTATCTAAAAGAAGGGTGTGAAAGTAGGGCTCCTCCTAAACCAGCGTGAGGGAACCGTGCTTTCCCTTTTGGTATCCAAACAAAACAAAAGATTTGACTCAAGATTTTAATGGCCCATAAAAAGGAGGAAATTCAAAAAGCACAATTAAAATTTCACCATCTGTTCACTCTAAATCATMAAGGAGAAGGGGGAGGTTTCCCTTCTGCATTATAATCAGAATTAGAGTAGAAAAATTAAGTGGATGTGCAATAGGCACAGCACCCATCCCTCTCTTACTCTACATTCAAGTGAYACTCTGGGCAGGATGAATTATGAAAAAAATGTATTGAGAGCCCTGCTTGACATTTTCCTCTTCTGTGCAATTCTATCCCTCTGCAAGTGTGCTTTAATGGTTTCTCAGTGCCTTTGGTGTTGCCGTATTACCTCATGTGTGCCACATGTGAGCACTTTAATCTGAGGCGGAAAGGAACCTGTTTGCCCCATCTGTTTTGACTTGCATGTGTCGATGCTGCTGTAAATGCTGGCAGCTGTGTTAATATGGGAGGCCACCTGCCACATGGGAGATACTGCATTTTTGGGTAAAAGCTGATTTTTCTCCCTTTGCTGGAGGTGTAGGTGGCTTAATTCGAGTTCCTGTTGGCAACCCTGCTAGCAGTTCCCTTCCCCTTTTATTATTTTAAATGTGTCAAAATTATTTACTCTTAAGTCATGTGATACTCATTTACTCCAGGGTACAAAAAAAGAAAGGGATTATCTAAGCTGTGACACGTTCATCTTTTATATTGATACGGTTTTAGTATTTTGATTCGTTTYCATATTTTCATTATTTGCCTGTAGTAGAACTGTCATTTGGTATGTTCCCATATTTTCTGCTTTTAAAGGCAGTGCAGAAAGGAAGAACAGATTTAAGCACAAAATGTTACTGTTTGGGATTAGCATTTCTGATTAGGCTGGCTCTTTGTTCTTGGACAAGCAGAGCCCTGGTAATGCTTTGTGCTGCCCTGTGGTGCCCCTGTGGGCACGTGTGGACAGCCTTTGGATGCAGCAAGGTGTTCTGACTGCCGCTGTCTCTGGGTGCAAACCACTCACCATATTATCCTTAACTACATCCTGAGGTGATTATGAGGATTAATTAATGCTTAAATCCTTTGAAGATACCGGATGCTTTATAAATGCTAATTATTATATTCAGGTTTGCTACAGCTTAGGGATTAGATCTTACTTAACCAATAGGTAGGGAAGCTGTGAGATGTATGTGGCAAAGAAGAATTAAAAGTAATAAACAGTCACTGAGAGCCTAAGCCTCCCTGCAGCCTGTTTGTGCAATCCTAATAAACTGCCACTTTTCTAATTTGGTTTTGGAGCCTAACTACTTCTGTTTTGAATGTCAGAGGGAATGTCTCCTTTATCATGTTCCATTGGGGGCTGCTGTTACATTTTGCAGTTTTAACCCCAATTGCCCTTTCTGTGAAAGCTGGCAACTATGTGTAGGTACTCTAAAAATGTGGTTTCTTGTTTTCCTSTGTACTGTTCTGGAATGAAATATTTCATGGTTTTGTGCAAAGCTTGGGGCATCTGTATCACTGAGAGAATTGTCTGCTCCTTGTCTGGATACTGAAAACTGGACAGAACCTTGTGTACTAAAGGCTGGTCCCCTACATAAGATTTGTGATTTTTAATTAATACATRAGAAAACTACTTTGTAACCTTTGATATAACCAGCTAGTACCAGCTCTGACTGGTTAAAAATTTAAGTTCATGTCCAATATCCAGGTGTATCTGTGTTTCTAAAATCCACATCTGTATGAGATGTGGACTGTACAAAGCAGAGCTGTTTGCACGTTTCTTAAAGACTTGTTCATAGCTGAGRTAGTGGACAGAAAAGCAGACAGGAGGGATTTTTTTTTCAGGCTGTTTTATTGCTACTGCTCTGCAGATGGGTGTAGAGTACCAGCTTTGTATCTGCCTGTGAGACAGTGGTAAATAAAGAGGTTTAGGTATGGATCTTGGTGAACAAATGGAAAAAAAAAAACTTASAGAAGAGAGGTGATCACTAGCGCAGGTTACCCAGAGAGACCTTGGACTTATTCAAAAGGCATCAGGACACCATCCTGGGCAATGKGGTCCAGGTGGTCCTCGTTGAGCAAGGGGTTGGACCAGGTGTTTCTAAGGTCCCTTCCACTTCAACTATTCCCCAATTCTGTGAGATGGCAAGAGCAAAAGGATGGTGATAGAAATGTGTAAGGTGCAGGCAGTCACAAAGAACAGCAGAGATGGTCACAAAGATGAGAAAGTGTGCTTCTGAATTTAAACTCCTAGTATCAGTGTTAGTCTGTTTCACCAGGAACGCMCACTCAGTGAATCATTAAGGTTTTGTGCATCACCTGGATCTATAAAATCAGGATGGTATTTGTCACCGTGCAATGGCAAGGTCATCTGTTGGTAATAGTTTGACGTTATAACTCAAGGGTGGCCGCAGCTCTCAGAAGGAGAAAAATGAAGGGTTTGGTACTAAAAAGCCSAAAATCAAACAAAAAACCAAACCAAACTCCTTTCTAGAACGCAATTTTTTTCAAAAGCAGGACACCCCCTTTCCTCCAAGCCATTTTTCATCAGCAAGAGCGGTCTGAACTSACTCCCAGATGACAGAGGTGAGAGGTGTAGCCCCAGCCGCTGCTGCCGAGTATCTTTGTTGGATGCGCATGTTTACAGCAGCAGGCACAGCTGTTGTGGCAGCCAGACGGAGCCCGGGACAGCGCGAATCCAGTTCCTGACCTTGCATGGACAAACGAGTGGCGGATCTCAAAGCCAGCACTTATGCTGGCGCTGGCGTTCGCAGTCAGTCAGGAGTGTAAATTCTCAAGGCTGCCTATCCTTTTTCTTACAGAGATTTTTTTTTTTCCACCTCTGATCTTTTCTCTTTGTTCACACTAATTATGACCCATTAACTTAAAAAAAAACAACAAACCCAAACCAAACACAACGCGCCACCCTCCCGGCGCGGGGGCGGCGGGCAGCGTGCGGCGAACCTCCCCCTCCGCGGCCATCGCTTCCCTGCCGCGGCCCCGGGCGCTCGGCAGGGCAGGAGCCGGGCCCTCCCCGCCTACCGGGGCGCGAACGGGGTCACCCACATCCGGCTGCTGCCCCAGCGTCCCCACAGCCCCGCGCAGCCCCCGCCTCCCGAGCGGCTCTCCCTGCCCGCCCCGCCGGCAGCAGGGCGGGGGCGCGGAGCGGCGGCTCCTCCCCGGGGCGGGGGGACGCGTTCGCCGCCGCCGCCTCCCGCCGCCTCCCGCTGCCGCGGGGACTCGGTGCCGGGCGGCTGCTGGCTCTCCCGTCCCGTCCCGTCCCGTCCCGAATCGTCCGGTGCCGGGGATGTCCGGCGGGGGCAGCCGGCGGCGGGCCGGCCCCTCCTGGCACAGCACTTTCTCTCGCTTCTTCTCCAGGAGCCCTCCCGGCGAGGGGGCGGCGAACAGGTACGCGGGGCATGGRCACGGCACCGGAGCGGCGCGGCGCCACCTGCGCGGCCGGGGGACACCAGGGGACACCGTGGGACGCGGGGCCCCGGGCCGTGTTGCGACACTGATGGGTGGCGGGGAAGCGGGAGGAAGCGAGCGTTCACCGCGGGGCGCCCCGGGGGCCGGGGGCGGCTCCGGGGACAGCGGCGGCCCCTGGCGGGGCGGCGGCTTGCCCGGGGAGTTGGGGACCGCGGTGGGTGCTCGGCTGACAGCTGCTGCGATCGCCGGGGCCGGCGGGCTGTCCTGGGGCAGTGCCGCGGTGCGGACACGGCTCCCGCTGGGCGCTGGGGCGGGGGGACTCGGGGGTTCCCTGGGAGRTGGATCCGGCACTCCGGCCCCGCCAGGCTCGGCGATCCCTGTGGAACCTCCTCGTGCTGGGAATAGCCCACCCGGGGCTTCTCCGCCGCCGCGGCCAGCGCCGTGTGCCCCGGCTCGCAGCCCCTTCCGTGGGTACTTAAGGCAGGGCAGGGTGCTGAGGTCTCCGAGAGGTTGGAGGGTTTTGTTTGTTTGTGCTTTTCTTTTTTCACACTGAAAGTTTTCTTTTGGACTGGTGTAAATCAGGCGTTAATGCAACATGAATATTACTGATATGTTTAAGTCTTAATGCAAAATTTGTGGTTTATGGAAACTTGGTTATTATTTTTTTTAATGCAGGCAGACTTCAAAGATGAAAA